AGGGCCAACTGCACAAGCAGGAGAAGGAACTAGCCCTGTGTACCTCACCCCTCCTGCAGACAGGAAACAGCCTCAGATGGGCTGGCTATGGAGGCCTCACTCCCCATGCTGGCGTGTCCTGTGCCCGTGCAGGTACTGTGCACCCCACACCTGACACCCAGGCTGAGAAACTGGGGTACAGGGAACGTGAAAGAGAAACTGGAAGGGTGAAACACCAAGGCTGGGATTTCCTAGTTGTGCAAGCCCTTCGAGCTTTGTTCCTCATGTGACGGTGAGAGGAGGCAGTAAACCCTGATAATGTTAGTGGTTCCTAGAGCTGCTGTTACTGTCCCCCAGATTGTGTCCAAGAACCAGGGCAGGACCGGGAGCTCCAAGGAGACCTGCTGGGAGGGGCCTGGACTAGGAAGAGCCTGTTTGGGCTGCCCTCTCACCTCTTTGCCGGTGGGGAAGGTGTTGAAGGCAGGTGGCCTGGCCCTAGGTCCCATCCTCTGTTAGAGGTGCCTGTGTCCATAGCAGGGCTAAGCACAGGGTCTTGGGGATCAGCTCTTACATCACCTGTAGAAAAGGCAGCCCCTGGCCAAGCAAAATGTGGCCTTCTGGTCAGAAGAGGTAGAGCTCGGATCCCCCAAAGCCTGCCTCTTGTTTCCACCTCCTACCCTGCGTGGCTCGTTAGGGGCTCTAGTATTTCCCAGGTGCGCCTGGCTTATCTCCTGGTCCTCAGGGAAAGAGCTGCTGGAGGCAGGGGAGCCCAGCTGCGCCTCCTCCGTCCAATCCCCAACTCATCTCAGGCTCTTCCCACCGTTCTTATCTTCTTTCGGCCTCTGCTAGAAGGAGCCATCGATCATCTCATGACCTCTGGAGAAACAAGCTTATCACAAGAGGAAGTGGAGGGCTTGACCTCCCTTCTGGTTCTAGGGTGCCCCTGAGCCTCTGCTCCACCCAGGTTGACTCGGGACCTAGCAGAAAGGGCTCTTGCTGGCAAAGGGTTTGGGGACTGTTTCCTACCTACTCTGCTCCGTGTGTGCTGGGTGTCACGGGAGACTCCTAGGCCCACAGTTGTGTGGGTTTCTACCAGCTGTAACTGGAGTTGGCCATGCCAGGCTGTGCCCCTTTGAGCACACTGGCAGAAGCCCCAAAAGCCTGTGACTAAGCTACTTTGCCAACTCCACCCCTCCTCGTCCTAAGACTTGAAGGCAGAACAGATAGTGAGGTTTGGGAAGCTGAGGTCTAGTATTCACAGCCTGACCTTCCCTTCCTCAGGCAAATGGCTTCACCTCTGAGATTTGCGCTTCTGACCAACAGAGTGATAGTATCTGCTTCCTAGGGCCAGGGTTAGGCCAGAGGAGACCCAGTCTAGTGTTGAGCTGATGGGGGGAGGGGGTGATGACAAAGACCTGGGGCCCCTGGCAGGCAGGCAGCACCAGAGAGAAATGTGGCTTGGGCTGGACACCCACACGCCCCCTCTCCGGGCTTGTTCATGGGACGTGGCTGCAGCAAGAGCAGCAGATGTCAGCAGGCACATGTCATGCTGGAATGAGCACAGGTCCAGGTGAGGAGGGTAGCCCTCAGCCCACACAGATTTCTGTGAATCTCAGTGTGGGGGGAGTGGGCACAGTGCTTCAGAGGATACAGGAGAAGGGCCCTCAGGGTGCCCACTCAGCAGAAAACCAGAGAGGCCGGGGTGGGCTAAGGGCCACCAGGGACAAGCCTGAGTATTCCCTTGGTCTCCTAGAGTTCCAAGCCCAAGCTCCAAGCAGCATGCTCCAGCATCCAGGAGGTCCGGCGATGTACACGCCTTGAGATGCCCGACAACCTCCACACCTTTGTGCTGAAGGTGAGTGATGGAGCTTTCCACACCCAGGGTACACT